AGAGGAGGCACCCGCGTGTTATTGAGAGGAATTCTGCTGATAACAGAAGGCTCGGAGGGCTAATAACGGGATAAGCCTGCACCGGTCCGGTGCTAGCTGACGGGAGAGAAATAAGGGGCGGGAAAAACCGAGGGGGAAAAGAAAAAGGCCGATTGCCGGTCGGCCGGCCGGCGAGAGAGAGAGAGAGAGAGAGATGCTCTGGCCCTTTCATGCATAAATCGGACACAACATGGCAGGGGGAAACGAGGCGAAGCCACGTCGAAGGTATATACTAGCATCAGCTGAGAAAGGTAATCTCGCCGCTTCCTCGACGACTCATTGTAATTCTACGCTAAATTTCAATCCGCGGCCGAACAAAAGCCCGCGTAGCCGGCTTCCTCCCCTCCCTCCTTCAGCCGTCATCCTCTTGTTTCATCTCTCGTCGAAGCCCTTCAACGTCGCCGGACAATAAATACTTGAACCGCGAGAACGAGAGCGTCAAGGAAGCGTACGAAAAATCATCTAAAAAGAATTGAGCCCTTTTTTCGGGGGGTGGAGGGGAGTAAGAGGGGGAACGGTAAGGGAATGAGTGAAGAACGGCGGAAGGAAAAAGAGAGCACTCGGTGAAAGAAAGGAAACCCCCTTATCTCTTGCGGAGACCGTCTCATACTGGCCGACATTGACTATTGATGTGTAACAAGCGGTCAGGTCTAATATTATTATTATTATTATTGCAAAAATATAGCTTAATTGTTATTAACGTGTACACAATTATTATTGACATGCGATACGTTACTCGCTGCTTGTGTCGTGCTCTTTGCGTCAGATTAATGTCACCGAGATGAAAAAATGGAGGAGTTTCGTCTCGGGAGTGCGCGTAAAGTTCTCGGGGATTTCGAGCGCGTTTGACGAGCATGCGAAATAAAACGGCCCTTTAAGGGCTGCGGCTTTAATAGGACGTCGCGGAAAGGCCAGGGGGGGGGTGAAGGAGAGGAGGGCAAGAAGACTCTATCTCTCCTCTCGGGCGCTGAAAGTCTCTAACGTGCCCGGTCGCTTTCCCCAAGTTTAATTAGGTACGCCCTATGTATCCCTCCCATCCGTGTGTATACAAACCGATACCACGGCGTTCGGTATTGGCGAGGGAAACGGACGTTAGGGATGCACCGCGCGGGTCGGGAGGACGCGAGGGGGGTGGCCTTAAAAGGACTTCAGGGAGAGACGAGGAAAGAGAGAGAAGGCGGCCGCGCGTATAGCACATATGGTGTCTCAGAACTCTATTTCTCTTTGCCGCGAATGTTAAGATGTTCAATTCGGAAATTCTGGAAAAGAAAACGAACGTCAAATAGGTACTCATTAAAAATGAATTGAAATAAAAAATTGGCGGTCTACTTTAAAAATCCAAAATGATAATTAATAATTCAAAAATTCAAGAACACAGGAAAAGTTGAAACAAGTCGAGGTGTCGATAAAATTAAAAATTTTATCAAATGCCGCGAATACCTCATTTTCAATTTCTATAATAATTTATTGAAATATGACGAAAGTACGAATGTGCGAAGAGTGTGAGTCTACTCTAAGCCATTCACAAAAAATCAGAGAGGATCTCAGAGAGGACTAAGCTTTTAGTATATGTATACGACGTTTTGGTAAAATTTTATGGTATCGTCTTGCATAAATCATTCGCACCGGAATCTCCACGCGCGTCCCCCTCGTATCCTTCCCCGGGAATCTGTAATTTTATGTCAATCCGTTGTTCAAATATTTACAAGAACCCGATACATATAGATTTAGACCATTCTCCCGGCGAGTTTATTCGAGAACCCCCGCGAGCGGCGGAGGTCCGGGGGTTCCCGGGACACCCTGTATACGCGTACACGCTGGTCCAGACGTCGTGTGTGCTCGGCGTGGAGGATGAGAGACGGAGGGGAGGGAGGGAGGGAGCGGGAGGAGCGGGGCGGCGCGGGGAGACGCCGGGAAGATGAGGATCGCGGAAATGGACCGTTGCCTGGAGCTTGGAGTCCTACGTCTCCGCGATATAAACGGAGTCTCGAAGCGCTGAATCGGGACGGCGAGGTGCAGGGAGGGGGGCGGGGGAGGAGGAGGAAAAGGCGGTGGAGGAGAGACAGGGTTGATGACAGGGGATGAGGGAAAGGGCCCGACTTTTGTACACGTCAGATTGAAATTTAGCGTGGGATTTCAATGAGCCGCCGAAGTAGCGAGATTACCTCCCCGTCGACTGATACTCCCGGTGACGTTCGCGACTCGACGCAGGACGACGACGATGACGCATCGATCCTCCTTTCCGCCTTCCTCCTCCCTCCCCCTGTTGCCATCCATCGTCTCTTTTTACTTTTCCTCGTTTTTTTTTAATTTTCGAGTTTCTCTCTCCCCCTCCCCCTTCCTCCCTTCATCCCCCGCGCGATGTCTGCTCCGTTCCCGGCGCGCGCGGAATCGCGTCCAATCAGCCTCCGGAGTCCGGGAGTAGCGCCGGATTTGTCGCAGCTCCGAAAGTTCTCCCGCTGATCGCGGAGCTCGACTCGCCGCGCTTAATTCGCCCTTCGGCGAGTGGCTTAGCATCATCCTCTCGTATCGCGCGAGAGATACACAACTTGGCGGGGGAGGAGGAGGGGAAGGAAGGCCGCGCGGGCACGGCCCTTCCCGGCTGAATAATACAGCGTACGCGCGCCTCCCCCTCCGGCTGTAAACTGATTTCGCGTTGCGCCCCGCGAGATAAAGCCTTGCGACGGCTTTCGGCCGCGCGCGACGAGCTTTTCGCGCTTTCGAACTTCGGAATCCTCGGGAATATCTCTCGCCAGTCGATCCCGTTCTCCGCTCTGAAATCGCGAGCAAGCTCTGGGCCGAGATCCTCGGAGCACGAGAATTTGATAGGCAGAAAGGGCAGCGTCCTCGCGACTGTATTTTTATTGTAACAGATATTTCAGTAAATGTAATTGCAGTTTTTCAGAAGCTGTGAGCGTTATACACATAATTTTCCCGACGAGAGATCATTTTTACATTCGCGACGCACTTCCGGGATCCCGGAATGCCAATTGTGCTCTCTACATCCTTCTGATTAGCCGAATGAATGAAAATATTAGTCGAAGCGGAACGCGCGCGCGTCGTCGGACACGAAATGCATATTCGAGAGAGTTCCATCATAGATACGTCTATAAATTCAATCGCGGTGGGGATCGGTTTAAAAATCCATCGGAAGTCGCGTCGATTAATCCGCGAGAGCCGATAGGGGAGAGAGAGAGGAGGGGGGGAGGGGGGGAGGGGGTGCCGGTTCGAAGTGCCGTGTAATCGAGAGATGCGCTTTCTTCTGAAATTTATTCAAAATTCAACGTCCGTTCGCCGCCGCGCCGCGCCGTCGCTGCCGCGCTGAGGATCGAAAATAGCGCGCGTCGACTTCGATTAGGATCGCGCATTATTCAGCAATCCACCGGAACGGATTAGATCGAGAGATGTAAAAGCGGGAGGGGACCGATTAATTAATTCGATTGGCGCACGGATAAGGAGCCTCGTTCCTCATTTAATCATCGAATCCCCCTATCTGAGACATCTGTTTCGGGAGACGCGGATCGAATCTCTCCCCGGACGGCGATGTCTGTTCTTTCCCGCTGTGTCGCCTCGAATTGAAAGGCGAATTAAAATCCACGGTTTACGTTTTGATTTTAACGCGATAACGACTTCCGTGTGGAACGCTCGTGCGGGGAAATCTTCCGAGGGGAGGATAAAAGTGATAAATTAACAAGGAATGATGGACGGTCGCGCGCTTAAATCGCAGGGCTCGCGAATTTATTCGTCGGTACGTTAAGTAAGTCGGATAATTAATTCAAATTGGCGAAATATGCTGCGCTTTATATACGTTTCACGCGCGGAGATAATTCGATGCCCTCGATACCGCGGTCCGCCCGTGGCGGAAAGTATCTCCGCGCGGCGAAGACACTTATTTGATAAACTTAAAACGTTGAAACTTCTCTCCCCGATATTACCGTAAGGTATAAACGATTCGAGGTGACGCCGCGAGAGAAATCGCGAAAGGTATTCTCGGCGCTCTTTGTACATAATAACGTATTCCCGCAAACACGTTTAACGGTAACGCCATTAAGGCGATGCTCCGAAAAACCGCGAATCGACATCGAAATTGATGGAATCTATCAATCCCGACACCGCTCGAGAGCAAGAGAGCTCTTTAAAGTCTTATGCCGAACAGCTGCCGTCATTATTAATTTCGTTCGGTCCAATGACGGAAATTCGTGACCCAATTTGTATCTGAGAATTATTGAAGAGCTCCATAGGAAGGAGCTTTGTATTATTACGTATCTTTGTCTCGCAAGAGCACGAAAAAATATGAAAAAATCTCGAAAAAAATTCCGTGCCGAATCAATTCACCTGAACATTTCATTTCAACAAAATTGTGGATATGCGAGGATTCTGAATAACGGATGATATAATAGGAAATGCAAACTTATTAAGAATATACTTATTAAATTTACAAATTTAATAAGAATACTTATTAAATTACTAAATTAAATAAGAATAATAATTTTTAAATTATTAGATTTAATAAGAATAGCGCGAGAATTTCTTAATAATAATAATATAGGGTGAAAGGGGGATGTCGGGGGAAGGATAATTCTTCAATGTGGACGAATGTAAGTCCCATTTCGTCGAGTCTCTTCGTCGAGGAAGCTCGCGGTGGTCCGGAAGCGAAACTTGTTTGCCGTGTTGTATCGATGTGTCAAAGGGGGAGAGGGAGGGG